AGGTTATACATAATAAGTAGGTGTACATGGTTAAATAAGAGCATGATGGTAGTAAAAGATATAAGGCAAAACTAGTAGTAGAGGGCTTTCAACATAAAGAAGAAATTGACTACACTAAAGTTTTCTCTCTCGTGGTTAAGATGACTACTATTAGATTGGTGCAAAGTATTGTTGTTGTTGAAAATTTGCATCTAAATCAATTAGATGTAAAAACTATTTTCTTACATTATGCCCTCAAGGAAGACGTTTACATAGTACAACCAAAAGACTTTAAAGTTTTAAAAAAGACAAAATTGTCATGTAAGTTGTAGAAAAAGTTTGTATAATTTAAAGCAAACTCCAAGGTAATGATACAAAAAGTTTAATGAGTTCATGTGTAACAATGGTTTTAAGAGATGCGAGATGGGTCACTGTTGTTATATCAATAAGTTTGATTACTATTAGTTTAATTTGTTATTATATGTTGATGAATCGATTGAATTACTAAAAGAAAACCTCTTATTGCTTAAGCAAAAATAAGGTTATAGATGTTGCAGGATCTAACTTAAAAGAGATTAATAAGCTCACGCAACGAGTTAGCTTGAGATGAAGGACTTATGACTTGCAAAGTAGATATTTAGGATGAGAATTGGTAGAGATAGATCAATAAAGTACTTTGATATTGTCTCGAGACAAGTATATATAGAAAGTGCTAAAGAGATTCAACCTTCGAATAGAAAGATCGAAAGCACTCTTTTGAAATGTTATTGACTTAGAACCTATAAAGTAAATACTAATCATGAGAATTAATAGAGATAGATTAGAAAGTACTTTGATATTGTCTCGGGAAAAGTATATATAGAAAGTGCTAAGCGATTCAACCTTCAGGAAAGGAATATCATAAGCACTCTTTTGGAAAGCCATCTTAGGGTTTTAAAGGAGCGATCACCAAAGATAGTTGAAGAGCGAAAGCAAATGCCTACAATCTTTTATACATTAGCAATTGAAAACCTAATGCATGCTATAGTTTGCACGAGTATTTGATATCGCTCATGCGAGTGGAAGTTGTTAATAGGTACATGGCAAATCCAAAAAAGAAGCATTGGAAATGAGTAAAATGAATTCTTTATTATGTAAAAGCACTTCGGGTATGACCTTTTGCTTTAAAAAGAAGACTACTATTTTACAAGTATTTATCGATGTAGATTTAGGTGGTGATCTAGACAAAAAAAGAGTACAACATCTTATGTCTTCATTTTAGGTGGTACTATTGTGAGCTAGGTGTGTTGACTTTAGAAGCGTTTTGCTCTTTTCACTAGTGAAGTCGAGTATATGGTTATTTTAGAGCCGATAAAGAGATGATTTGGTTGAAGAACTTTCTAAAGGAAATTGGTTAAGACACAAGATGAAAGTGAACTCTTCAATGATAGTTGGAGTGTAATTCACCTTGCCAAGAATCTAATATTTTATACAATAACCAAACATATACAAGTTGAAGTATCACTATATCCGAAAGTTATTGGATGATAAGATAATATGTTTGAACCAGATTTTAAGATTGGGGAATCCATCTAATATGTTGACAAAGACAATTACCATTGATAAGTCGAGGCTTTTCATTACTTTAGTCGACCTTCACGAGTTAATGATGAGAAAGTACTACACTAGAAGGATTCAAAGTTGGTTGAGAAAAAAATGATTATTACAAGAAGTTTTAATGCTATTTGGAGATCAATTTTCAAGTGAAAGATTGTTAAGTTGTAGAGATTGATGTAAAAATGACCCGTAGGTTAGTGCGCTACACGAGTTAGCAAATAGTATTGAGGCGGAACCTTCGAAAGATTTACGAAATATTGAGCTAGTTGTACGGGTCTATAAAGGGATTTTTTAATAACCGCTAATTGTCCATACTATAAATATACGCAATATCTCCTGTATTTATAGTTGATTGAAAATCGAATAAGAACTTCTAATGTAGGCGTAAAGTAGGCATAATTATCGAATCACATAACATATTTATGTTATGTGATTGTTCTTCTTTTTTTTATTTTCTATTTTCTTATTTGATTTGTTTCCTAACATAGTAAACTATTTCTTATTTATTAGGTTGATGGGTTTGATTTTCACCTTTGGAAACTTTCTTTGTTTCTTTTGTATAGCACTAAACATGGATTATTAATGTACTCAAATAATCTGATTCTTAGAAACAATTTAAGATTAGACGTAATTTGGATGCTAACCTAGTTTAGAAAATGATGGAATGTTAGTTGAAAAATATGAATATTTTTTTTAAGAGGAAATAGGCATATAGGTGATATAAATAATTGTAAATCTTAGATTATTTATTATTTAATTTGATTAATTATCAGATCATTTTTAAATATCAATGCAATACTAATTTATTTATTTTTATCACTATTTTGACAATTTTATATTTTATTTAACTAATTATATATTTCGTACCATGTTAACCATAAAAATGAAATTTCGGTGATTAACTAATTGAACAACGGTGAGACAAACAAAATAGACATGGATGCTCCAAAACCCCTAATGTCTGTTGCATCTATATATAATAGTAGCAGATTAAATTCATATGTATAAACACCCTATGAATCATATGTTGTTCTGATCGACCTTTTTTTAATTATTATTATTAGTTTTTTTAATTTCAACCTCTAAATCATGGGGTATTTTTATTGATACTCTCCGGTTACTTCATCCATTTTTTCGTCAAAAACATCATGTACATTAAACATATTTCTTTATAATATAATAAAAAATAAAATTGCACATATTTTTTTAATAAAAAGATCATAAAAAATTGATCGATGTTTTTTTATAAGAAAAATTAATCCCATTATTATTGATGGAAGATAATGGAAAAAAATTATCTTCTCGTCAAAAACATTATGTACGTTAAACATATTTCTTTATAATATAATAAAAAATAAAGTTGCACATATTTTTTAATAAAATATCATAAAAAATTGATCAATGTTTTTTTACACGTGTTTTCCCCATGACAAATACATATTTGATGGGTTTTAAATTGATAATAACGTATCAGTTTTTTTACTCGAGTTCTGATTTTTCAACTCACATTGTTGAGTTAGAAAGCTCACCAATCCCACAACAATATGAAAAATAATAGAAAAACACGAGACTTTTATAAATTTCATACTTGTAGAAAAACATGAGATTTTTACCACAATAAAATAAAGAAATGAAAAAGAAAAGAAAAGTCATTGAGTTGGAAAGAACATCAATCCCACAAGAATATGAAAACAAAATTTTATATTTGTAGAAAAATATGAATTTTTTTACCATAATTAAAAAGGTATTTTAATTAAATATCAGATTCTTTTAGCCAACGAGAAGAAAGGAAGAAACTTTTCAGGAAAGAAAATTGAACTCATAATGAATGAGACACTATTGTTGTTACTCAATCCTACGACCTTGAATTGAATGATAGGTGTCTTTCTAGTTGAACCCACAAACGTCAAACGACAGCAAGGCATTTGCTGGTTTTGATTAGATGTTACCCTTTGCAAGCTTTATAATCCCTTGGCTCTCTCTTTGTTCAATTTCTAGCCCTGCCCAAATTCGTTCTTTGTTATCCTACGTTTGTTTTTGGATACCAAAATAACTTATAGATGGTAGATGGTCGAATCATAAATCCTTTTTTTTTTTTTTTTATACTATCAATTTTACAATCAATTTTTATTTATTTATTTTTTGCCTTTCATGGGAATCCAAATCATTGCAAAAGTAGAGTTGTATGCTTGTATATTTTCCTTAATTTCATGATATTTTTTTAACTGTATTATCTCAGTATTACTTTTCCATTGTATTATTTAGCATTAATTTTCGGATGAGTAGAATATATACAAATAATTTTTGGATACCAAAATAACTTATAGATGGTAGATGGTGGAATAATAAATCCTTTTTCTTTTTTTACTATTAATTTTACAATCAATTTGGCCTTTTATGAAAATCGAAATAATTGCAAAAGAAGAATTGTATGCTTATATATATATATATATATATATATATATATATATATATATAGCATTATATCATTTTCTATTGTTAATTGTATTGTTTGGCATTATTTTCGCGATACGTAGGGTGGTTGATTTTAATAATTTGATTAATTATAAATAATTAATTTTTTAGCATACGATGATCTCAGTAAAACATTATGCTAATTTATATGGTAATTTTGATTTACACTATTCTTATTATATTTAAACTGAAATAATATCAAATTCAAATCCTATGAAAGATGTCTGATTTATATTTATTTCATATAATATCCGAATCTCAAAGTTTACTACAGAAACATAGTAACAAGTTGAATTATTTTCTTCTTTTATCTCACAATACATTTTATATTTGCATGTTATTTATTGGTTGGAATGAATTGAAAAAAGCAAATTATTATAATAAAGTAAAAACAACAAATTCATTTAAGAATAATCATGGTTGTGTGTGTAATGTAATGTATTCCATATTTTAACTTTTCCAATAAAATTGGTTTAATAAATAATTTCTTTTTAAACAACTACAAATGACTAATTTCAATAAATAATTATATGACATTGTTTTTAATAAATAATAATTCAATTTTAAAAATTTGCAGAAAGGGATATATACCTTAGTACCATGTTCAATGGACCTCTTCTAGTCATGGGTTGCACGCATCATAGGATTCCGCGAACGTGCTTACATGCGACCAGACACAAACATTAAAAAAAAAAGAAAAAAGTTAAGAAGAAGGAGATAAACTAATCAAATACTCCATAAAAAAGGTAATTAACAACTGTTCCCATTTTCCACACTGGATCTTCCTTCCTTCTTCAGCTTCACCGACTAAATTTCCTTTTCGATCACCCCTGAAACATCCTTTATTTACAAGCACATGCTCTAACATAATGCGTTCTTCAACCTCCGAATTCTAAGCAAACCTCAAAACAAGATCCAACTTATCTGTTTCCAACTCAGTCTGAGTCAAAATGCTGGACCGCTGCATCGGGACTCACCGAGCCCGTCAGATCCAAAGAGCAATCCGTCACGGAAAAGTCACACTCCTCTGCCTCTTCTTGACTGTAATCGTCCTACGTGGCACCATCGGAGCCGGCAAGTTCGGTACACCAGAACAAGACTTCAACGACTTCAGAAATCACATCTACGCCGCTCGCAAACACGGAGAGCCGCACAGAGTTCTCACCGAGTCAAACCAGTCCAACAACAACAAGAGCGACGAAACAAGTAATGCAATCGATCCGAAGAGTTATGCCGCATTTGATATCAACAAGATTTTGGTCGATGAAGGGGAAGACGAGAAGCCGGATCCGAATAAACCGTACAGTTTGGGTCCGAAAATTTCAGATTGGGATCAACAGCGAGAGAAATGGTTGAGTGAAAACCCTAGTTTTAGCAATTTTATTAGGCCTAACAAACCGCGTGTTTTGTTAGTTACTGGATCTTCTCCGAAACCTTGTGAGAATCCGGTAGGGGATCATTACTTGTTAAAATCTATAAAAAATAAGATTGATTATTGCAGGCTTCATGGAATCGAGATTTTCTATAATATGGCATTGCTTGATGCGGAAATGGCTGGGTTTTGGGCGAAATTGCCTTTGATTCGGAAGTTGTTGCTTTCGCATCCGGAGATTGAGTTTTTGTGGTGGATGGATAGTGATGCTATGTTTACAGACATGGCGTTTGAAGTGCCGTGGGAGAGGTATAAGGATTCCAATTTTGTGATGCACGGGTGGAATGAGATGGTTTATGATGAAAAGAATTGGATTGGATTGAATACTGGGAGTTTTTTGCTGAGGAATTGTCAATGGTCATTGGATCTTTTGGATGTTTGGTCGCCTATGGGGCCGAAAGGTAAGATTAGAGATGAAGCAGGGAAGGTGCTTACTAGGGAACTTAAGAATAGGCCAGTTTTTGAAGCGGATGATCAGTCTGCAATGGTTTATTTATTGGCTACACAAAGGGATAAGTGGGGTGATAAGGTGTATTTAGAGAATGCTTATTATTTGCATGGTTACTGGGGGATTTTGGTTGATAAGTATGAGGAAATGATTGAGAATTATCACCCAGGTCTTGGTGATCATCGTTGGCCCCTTGTCACTCACTTTGTGGGGTGCAAGCCTTGTGGGAAGTTCGGAGATTATTCAGTGGAGAGGTGTTTGAAGCAGATGGATCGTGCATTTAATTTTGGGGATAATCAAATTTTGCAGATTTATGGGTTTACTCATAAATCGCTGTCTAGTCGGAGAGTTAAGAGAGTGAGAAATGAGACTAGCAATCCACTTGAAATGAAGGATGACCTTGGCTTGCTTCACCCTGCATTTAAAGCTGTCAAGGTATCAACAACATCTTGAGAGCTTTGATAATGTATTCTACTGCAAGCTGCTGATATTTTTTCATTTTAAGTTATAGTATATGTCAATTTGCTTGCAGTTGCTGTTATTGCTTGTAGGAGTACTCGATATTGTATTCTGTATGTTCTTTTCTTAATTTTGTGTTATCAATGTTTAAATTATATTGATTTTTGAAAGGAAAGTAATGAGTCTCACTTCTGACTTTTGACTGTTATTTTATTTCATGGTACTATGTATCACTTTTGATTAAAATGCTCATGCTTGTGGCTGTATGTAATAACCTATTATCATGTGTATATTATTTTTTATATCTCTGTGTATATGCTGGTTAAAATCATGATGAATGCCTACGTTCCTCAGGTTGTTTACTAAATTGGTGATTCATTGTCGTTGCCTAAGTCAAATATGATTATGCTTTATGATGATATTGAACGTTTATGATTGTGGTTGATGAAGTTGGACATGTTTCTAATTAGTTTACCGGAACTCTAGGAAACTATTTTTTCTTTAAAAATATAACTAGCCTGATTCGGAAGCCTTTTACATCTCATAATATTTTAAATGACACACTAATCTCCAATTAGTCCTCATTATAAAATTCATCCAAGGGAGAAAACAAACTTCATCTCTCAAAATTTTAGGATCTATCCATTTTCTGTCAGAAATTTGTGTTTGAATATAAAGGCTGTGAATTTTTTAAACTGGCACTGATTTGACCATAGGTTGACTGATCAGATGCATATCTAAATTGATAACATAGTTTCTTGGAATTGAGCCTGATTTGTCCTGTTAGGGGTTGATATTACCTTGATTCTAAGTGCCTTTGATTTGAGCATTGCTTTTAAAATCTCAATGGACCAATTGACTGTGATGCCTAATGCAAGCAAGTGTAAAAACACATTTACCTGATCAGATGCATATCTAAATTGATAAGATAGTTTCTTGGACTTGACTCTGGAGTCTGATTTGTCCTGTTAGTGGTTGTTATTACCTTGAGTCTAAGTGCCTTTGATTTGAGCATTGCTTTTAAAATCTTAATGGACCAATTGACTGTGATGCCTAATGCAAGCAAGTGTAAAAACACATTTACCTGATTTACAATGCATATGGAAGCAGTGATTTGTAATATGTAATCCATAAACATAATTCTTTTCTGATTCCAAAGCTAAAGCTTCACAAAACTTGATTCCATCTTTAAACGCCAACAAATGAAAAGGATCCTCCTCTCTTCCTTTCCAGAACGCTACAATAGCTTTAATGGTTAGCATTAAATTATTATCTGTGAGCCAGGTATGTCATACTAGGAGCAAAAAGCTGCTATGTGGGGATATTAACAGTTTTTCCATGTTCTGAGAAGAAAGGTCACAAAGGAAATTCATTTTCGTTTTGAAGCAAGAAATACTCCTCAAAAAAGCCTGAATCCAACTGCTTGAACATAAGGAAATCATACATTCATGTGAATCACTGCTTATATTATTATGGAAGCATTCCATTTGTGGATGCTGAAATTTAGGAGATTGCCCTTTCATGATGATTTGCTAGGTCACTGTATCTGATTCTTATTTGAAGGGCTTGTGCTTCTGTTCTTGAATGATTCAAATCTCTCTTTATGTAGTCTGAAGGTAAAGTTTTTATCGTTCCATAAGACCTTGGACAAAAAGGTAAATTTTTTTATCAACCATAAAAACCACAGACTTCCTTCCACAACATTTTCATAAAGAAAATTGCAGCATGAACACATTTGATGTCCTTATTTGAATAATTTCATATTAAATGCAACACTAAGCTAGCACGGTTAAGAAGAGAGGGAAAGGGGCTGGGGTTGGGTGCATAACGTGTGGTGTTCAAATGAGTTGCATTGGCTGATACGTATGAGGAAATGACTGATCATCGCCATCTGGGTCTTGGTGGTCATTGTTGGCTGCATGTGATCGCCTTTTGGTGTGGAAGGTTTGTTGGAAGTTTGGAGATTATCCAGTGGAAAGGTGTTTGAAGCAGATGGATCATGCTTTTAATTCTACGGACAACCAGATTTGCAGGTTTATGGGCTTACTAATAAATCTCTTGCCAGTTGGAGAATTAAGAGTGAGAGCTGAGACTAGCAATCTACTTGAAGTGAAGGATGAGCTTGGCTTGCATCGCCCTGCATTTAAAGATGCCAAGGTATCATCATCTTGAAAGCTTTGATAATTTAATGCGCTGCTTGCAGCTGTTATTGCTTTTATTATATGTCAATTCACATGCAATTGTGCGATTTTGCTTGTAGATGCACTGGATTCCGTATTCTGCATGTTCTTTTCCTAAATTAGGAAAGAAGTTGCCTCAACTGTATTTTGTGGTTTCTTTATATATTAACTGAAATGTTTCATGGTCTGTGTTTGTAGTAATGACTTGTTTCCATGGGGTATATTCTTTTTTCTTTTTATTTATTTTGCAGAGGTTGTACTTTTGGCATGCTGATTGAAATTAGGAAAAGGCTGAGGTTCATCAGTTTGTTATTGATTGGGTAATCTCTGGCAAAGTGATTATAGCGAGGTTAGTGACCATTCAAGATTTGCTTTGATAAATATGGGATATGTTACTGCTTAGTTTGCAGGACACGCAAGGAGAATTTTTTAAGAAAAAAGCACAACAATTCCATACTAGCCTTAATGGTATTCTTTTGGATCTCTTCATAATATTATTATGAAAAGCTTATTCCCAATTAACCCTGAAGTTGTAATAACCTTCTGAGTGAGGGCAAATTACTTCATTTTATAAAATCTTACAAGCTCATCTATGTGCTATCATGATGACTGATATTGTAGAAATTTATTGTTGATATGAGTTAAAAGCTGGAAAGTATTGTTAAATTTAGGTGGATTGAAACATAGCTCAATTTATTAGGTGCCTTTGATTTGAGCTTTGCTTTTAAAGTTGTAATGGTTAAAAGTGCGAGTAAGAAGAACACCTTTTCTGATTTATAATCCGTGTGGAAGCAGTAATTTGCATTTTTAATCTGCAAGAATGTTCTATGTTGATTCCAGAACAAAAGCTTTTCAGATCATGATTCCAGCTTTAAACACAACCAAATGAGAGGGAAGAAGAGTAAAACAACTCTGCACCCCAGAAAACATTACAATTGCTTTAAGTGTTGGTATGAAATATTGTGTGTGAGCTAGGTGCATGCCACACATTAGTAGGAGTAAATGGCTGCCTTGTTGGGATGAGAGAACTTTTGTCTTCTGGAAAAGAAGGGTTGTAAAGGATATGGTTCTCAAGTAAGAAATACTCTACTAGCGAACTTAAAAATCCTAACTGCAACTGTTCGAGCACAAGTAAAGCATATATTTACATAAATTACTGCCCCTAAAAATATACTACCAAGTTAACTCTTGGAAGATTGTCCCCTTTTTATGGATTTGGTAGATTCTTGCATCTGATTCTTATTGGAATGACCTTGTTTTATTATTCCTTAATGTTTCATAAACTCTATGTTTAGTCTGAATGTCAAGCTCTTATCCTTGTACCTTAAAACCACGAACTGTCTTCCCCAACATATTCATAGAGCAAAAATGCAGCATAAACACATTGATGATGTTAGGCTGTTCTAATTAGAGTAATTTCTGATCAAATGCAGCACTAAGTTAAACATGGTAGGGAGGGGCTTGGGCAATGGGCATCTAATTTATGCTATTCCATTTTGTTCTCATTAAATGATCTCCTAAAAATTGCACCCAGTTTTAATGTTTCTAGGGGCTCAACCAACATGAAGGAAGCTGTATAGATACTGATTTCTTAACTTCAGTGTTTACAGTGTTTACAGTGTTCCTTTCACATGGCTTCTACAATGTTGATGTAGGTCATGAAGTTGTGTGATTATAGGTTAGTTTCGTAAACACAAGAGAACTGTATCGACTGACAATTTCAAAATAAGTCCCATGAACAAGCAACTAATATTAAAGAAATTAGCAGATCTGTGGGCATTGGGACTGCTTTGCTCCTTCTCTGTGCACATTATCTGCTCATACCTCAGAATTGAAGCATCAGCAACCAATACATCTGTGAGACTGTATCCCAGAAACATATTCTTGTTTTGAAGCTGATGATATCTCGTGAATGTTTTATTTATTGATCATGCAGAGGATAAATAGGGTAATGTGTATTTAGAGAGCTTATTTTTTGCATGGTCATTGTGGGGATTGAGCTTGATAGGTATAAAGAAATGATTGAGAATTGGGTCTTGGCGATCATCATTGGCCTGTTGTGACCTGCTTTTTGGGGTGGGAGCCTCGTGGAATTTGGAGATTAGTGGAGAGGCACTTGAAGCTGATAAATATTCCTTTTAATTTCAGGACATTTAAATTTTGCAGATTTATGGGGTTATGCATAAATGCTCGCCAGTCAGAGTGAGAAATGTGACTAGCAATGCAGCAATCCACTTGCATTGAAGGATAAACTTGGCTTGGCTCAAAATTGTGTTTATTAGCACCCTCTTGACTGAGATAACTATGAAGTGATAACTAATTTTAATGAAGAGGGATGTTATGGTTATGGGGGTGTCGTGGTGAATTGTGTGGGTAATGTTCTTGTAACTGTTTCTTTTAGAAAGGTCGGCGTAGGAGCTTCGGAAATTTTGGAGCTTAAGGGACTGGTTAATGCTTTGCACTGGGCTTATGATTGATTTTTAGAGAGACGGTAGTGGAGCTTGGTATTGCAAGCGAGGCTGCTTTTCGGATGATTGCAGGGAGTTGCAACAAGGTTTCAGGAATCTTTCATTTGTGCGTGTCAAGAGGAAATGAATCAAGTTGCATATCTTCTAGCTAGACACTCTGTTAAGTTTTGAAGGATATGCCGTGATTCAGGAAAGTCCAGATTGTCTGCAGTCTGTATTACTCAAATGGCAGCCTGAATTTTGGTTTTGGTTTTGGTTTTCCTACCTTTTCTGATGTTTTTTTTTTTTTTTTTTTTTGCTGATCTGTATTGGCCACAGCGTGATATTTGTGCTTATATCTCAAAAGGGTTAGTCTCAAAAGTCTTCTTTTTCTCTGCCTTTAGCTTGGTTTTCATGGATTTACACGTTACGTCTAACCAACCTCTCCTTGCTGTAACAGAGAGAGCAGGAGCGTTGCAGCAACAATAGCAGAGACAATTGCGACCCATAAATCCTTTGACCTTGTCAAATGGTGTCACCGACGCTCTAGCCAAACAAGGCACAAGCCGTAATTTTGACTGGGTCTCCTGGGTTGATGGATGAGGGAGCTGTAGCTTTATTATTAACTCGTCTAGTGCCTGGTGGCAATGTAATTCAAAATGCTGGAAACAGACACTCATGACAGAGATAGATGTCTTCTGCAATCACGGCATCCCCTATGGATCCATAATCATGGTCAGTGGAAATGAGCTTAGGCCTTGCATGCAATCTGTCTCATTTGCTATCTCTCTGTATCCCATAATTTGCCGAGTGCAAGCTAAAGCTTGATGCTCTTATCCTTGATTAAGCTTCGCTGCTGACAATTCACATAAGCTAGTACGTCTTGTGGTATCAATGGTCTTCACTGCTGACAATCTATGTATAAAGCGTGACGTGTTACGTATTTAGAAATAAGAGCGTTATGTCAGTTCACCCATTAATGATGTTACAATGGTGAGGTGAAAACAAAGTAAAATGAAGAATTGAGAGATTCAATCAACGCGAAAAACAGAACGCAAAATTTTAATTAAAACAATTCAAATGGTACAAAAACTACACACGGACAAAATCCACCTAAATGTCTATGCATTGTGTTGGCACCAATATATCAAATCGATACTTGTCAAAACATAATACGATGCTTGCTTGTACGCCACACTTTAGAAAAGATAGGATGAGAGCGATAAATCACTTAAATGTCACAAGAATTTGAATTAATTCTTGATAAGTTCTTGGAAGAACAAGGACGAGAATTCCCACAAGTAATATTTTTTTGATAAAAATTGAATTATTCAATATTACAAAAGTTTCCTATATAAGGTAAGGTTGCTGAGAACCGAAAGTAATAATAATAATAAAAAAAAACATAAATATTAGCATAGGTTCCAACAAAACTACATTCATCTAGGCTTTGGATCAATAAAGAACAATAGAATAAGTTTAACGTAATCACTTGGAATTCTTTGGTCTTTAAAAGTATAAAGGATGCAGCATCAGACTTTGAAACCATTATTTTATTCGGTTATATGGTAGCTTAAAATAGATAGCAAAGTATTGGCCCATCATAGTTGTTATAACCAAAATTTCAAGCTTGGTTATTTGTTTTCTATTATTTCATTTTAAGCTTTTTTTTTCCTCTTATCTTAATCATTGTTATTATTTTCATTTATTCCATTTTACTTAACAAAGTTGCAAAAAAGAAAGAAAAAATACAAAAATACAAAAACAATGTGAATTTAATATTAAGGGATGCAATTATATTAAATTCAAAATCATTATAGTAATTGAGGATACAATCGAATCATTTAAAATTCAAGAGCCAGATTCCATTGGACAAGGACTAAATTGACATAATAATAATTTACGGGGACCAAGATGCAAAAATAAAAAATTACAAAAAATAAAAAAAATAAAAAAATACAAAGTTTGCGAGAGGAGTGGGCGACTAGTCGCCCACTCCTGCTCGGAACTAGAACTAATTTCTAGGATGTTTTCCTCTCGCTTCATGGAATCGATTTTGGTTTCGGTTGCGGGAACTAATTTCCGTTCCAAATTTCAGCCTTGAATTCCAATCCCGAGCATCAATTAATTCTCTCAACTTGCAGTTGTCATTTCTCCCCTCCATGGTCAACAATTTCGGCACCTCCCTTTACCTACCCGCTAGCCACCCTACTCGCTGCAAATCCCAACAATCTCCAGGTGCAATCCCCCAATTCCTGCTGACCTCGCCATGCTGCAACTTGCAGCAACTACACGGCCTTCCCCCTATTACCGGCCACGCCACAACCATCCCCTACAACCCAAATGGCCACACTCGCCCACTCCATATCCTGCAAAAAAATCTCACACCATCATGGTGGAGAACCAAGCCACATTCACTTATATATATACACGGACAACGACAAAAAAAGGGGGGATTCGATCCGAAATTAGATAAGATTAGGCGAGTCTAAAAATTCAAGAAAAAAAGAATTAAAAAAAGAGAGAAGGCGAGTGAGTCCGAAAATTAAGAAGAAGGAAACACTGCAAATTAGAAAAGAGTAGCGATCAAAAAAAAAAAAAAAAGGAAATCGACGAGTAAAGAAAAAAAGAGAGATTAAATTTACTTGAATTGTAGTTGCAATCCACATCCATTTCCACCAATTCTTTTAGGTAATTTCCTCTAATTTCTCTTTAATTTTGTTTTTTTAAACAATTTAAGTTTGATTTAAAATTTGAGGATTTTTTGAAATTGTGGAAAAATTGAAAAATAGATTTGGGGGTTTTGATAAAATTGAGTCCTAAAGGGTGTGAATTGACTTGATTTCAAGTCAATCAAGTCTAATTGAAAGAAAATTAAAGAAATTGAAAACCTAGGGTTTCGGCCAAAATTGGGGAAGAACATTGAGAAATTGATTTGGGAGTTTTTGATTGAGCAAGGAAAAAAAGGAAAGAAAGGGGAAAAGAAAGAAAGAAAAGGGCGAAATCAAGCGGCCATGGACGAACCTCCACTGGTTCGTCCATGGCAAGCAGCAACGTTTTTTTTTTTAAAAAAAGGGAGAGAGAACGGTAAAGAGGGAAGAAGAAGAATAAGAAAGAGAGGAAGAAAAGAAGAAAGAGAAAGAAGAAAAAGAGGGGGGGGGGAAGGGACGAACCATAACTGGTTTGTCCATGGAGGTTAGATTCAATCGGGAGAGGGAAGAAGAAAAAGAAAGAAAAAAAGAGAGAAGGAAAAAACGGGAAAGAGAGAAAGAGGAAGGAAAATGAAAAAATAGGTTTTGATCCAAAATTTTAAAAGCCTAGATTTGGGTTATGTTTTTAGGCCAAAAAACTTAGTCTTTTATTTTAAGTGAGCCCAAACTCGGTTAGGATAGAAGTTGGATTGTCCAGCCCAAAATGTTGCCTTTGGGTGGGATCGGACGATCCAGCTTAAACCCAAAAAAAAAAAAAGAGTAATTTTTTTTTATTTATGAATATTGTTATTTCATATTAAAATTAGCTATTGAATTGTTTTTAATTATTTTAATTAATGTAATTTTTAATCTGGAGTTTTATTTTATGCATGTTTGTTAATTTATGTTAACTTGGAATTTAATATTTTAATCGTCCGTTAATATTTTAATTAATGTGATTTTAAATTTTAACTTATGTTATGCATGCTCGTTATTAATTTAAATTTCAATATTTGAATTTTTTTATTTAATTCATGTAGCTTTAATTTATTTGTTTAGTAATTAGGTTTAGTAAGTAATAAGTAGAAGATTGTCAAGTCTCCTAAGTTTTTAGGGATCGATGACAATCTTTCATTAAAAAATAAAAAATAAAAAATAAAGAAAGAAAAATAATAATAAAAAAAATCAATCATAAAACTTTTTAACAAAGTCTCCTATCCGATAGGGATCGTTGTTAGCCAAAAAATTTTATTTTAATAAACAAGTGTTCTCCGGCACACCGGTTGTGTCGAGACTAAAAAACAATGAATCCGATGTTTGAACCGACGTGTCTCCCGATGAAAGGGGTCCGACGATCGTTTCAATACGATGCCACGCTCAAAAATAAAAAACTTAATTTGACTTGGAAAATTGGAGTCTCAAAAAATCAAAAAATAATTTGGCGAAAATAAAATACTTTAGGAGATAATTTAGGACTAAGCTAGACGTGGTACCTTTCTTAAGAAAGGGCACTTTTGGGTGATTAATTATCTTTCCATAAGCGTAACCAACTCCTTACTATAGAATCTTTGAACCAATGCTAATTTTAGGTTCCTAGTTCCTTCAATATTAGGTGGCGACTCCAAGCTACTGCAAATAGTTTTGTAAATAAAAATAAAATTCGAAACGAGTGATATAAGAGATTTGTTTTTTTGTTTTGGGAGTCTCGTCCGAAGTCCAGTAGTGACAGAATGGCGACTCCACTGGGGACTTAGAGTTAGGCTATAGGTTTAGTTTGTTAAGTTTATCTCCTGTATTTATTTTTGTTAATTATTATTATTATTTTCAAGTAATTTGCTTTTTTTTTAATTTAATTTTGAGTCATTTATTTTTTGTGTATATTTTAAACCTTTTTCCTTTATGTAATTTATTTTTCTTGCATTCATGTACATATTTATTTTGTGAACTGGGTTAGATATCTACATTGAACTGTTGCATACACCACGAAGTAACTCGCAAAAGCTTTGGACCCGAGCTAAACCCCGTTATGATTAGATAGAGAGATTTAGAGGCAAGTATGACGAAAGTCTATCGATGCTCTTCCGAATCCTCATTTGGACTGAAACTCACCCTATGTATAGGAAATGGTGGAATAACCTTCTCCTACCTCCCGGTGCATAAGGTTAAAGGCTAAATTACCCCACTAATAATTTAGACGAGTCCGAAACTTGAAAAGACTTCGGGATTAGATGAGCTTTTCCAAAACCATAAAAAAGCTAGATCCTCGTCCACTAGGGCTGACTCGATTAAGACACGAATCATTTCCAAATGATATTTATTCTAACTTTCGACTCTTGCGGG